CCGTGAAACTGCCAAAAAAGTTTCGTCTTTCTTTGCAACTTCCTCTCAAGCTGTCTACAACTGTTGCCTGTTTGTAACAGCGACGTTGTTTCATGTCTAATTCACGAAAGAAGTAAGATAAATTCTGTATCTTTTACATCTAAGATAAATCAATTAAGTAATTCTTCACTTGTCAAAGACTGTTCAGGTAAGTTTGCATATTACAAAAAGCCTTGATTTTTTGGCTTAAAGCAGTAAAGCGATGACAGATGTACAATTACTATAGGCTCACTAGTCATCAATATTAAGAAAACTGCTAAAAAATTAAGACATCAATCGAAAGTTTCAGCAATACCTCAAAGACAAACTTATCATCATTCGGGCAAGTAGTATATACACGTAACTATGAAAGAAAAGACGAAAAATATAGAGTCCATGGAGTCAACAACATGTTATGAAAATTGCTGAAAAATTAACATCAGTGTAAAACAGAATTCTCTTTTTTAAACATAGATCCCTCTGTAATCCTCTCAGGCTTCTATTAGAACAACCCATATAATTATTTCTGATCACATATTAGACAAAGAATATACTTAGTACACTGTACCTTGATAATCAGACCACCAAGAAAGTCCGGCCAGAAGTTTCAGAGATTACGTGACTGTTGGAATGCAGCACACAAGCAGCTTACGTACACTGTGTCGGAACGCTAATTGAGGCTTGCCAAACTGTCAACCTAACAACTTGTGAGCTACCAGAACCATGTAGTTCTGCAGAAACAGCATGGTACTACATGTGATGCCTTTCAGTGTAATAGGCAAAGGCATGACATATGGCAAGGTCTTCATTTGCAGCCTTAGATTTCTTACTTGGTAAAGACGTAAGTTACAACAGCTTTGTTACCAATAGGATTCAGGAAAGGGTAAGTGCCGGCATTCGGCAGGTAAAATGCCGACCACAAAGATGTCTGTGACCCAGCCTGACCTCTGCCTCAATTACTGCAGTGAAACAAGAAGAGCGCCCGGGGCAAAACGGACCTCAGAAACAGATGGCACAGTTCAGCCCGCCAGTTTTACAAACACAACAGAAGGCCGGTTATATGGTAGATTTATTAGCTGTCAAGTAATGCTTTACACCTGGTTAGTGTCAACTTATGTAGTGAACACTTAACAATCGTTTGTTTTATAAGCATGGACTGTGTCTCTACAAAGAAAATTTCTATGTTTTTAAAGAATGTGCTAAATTGTCAAAACAACATTATATTCATAACATGATATGAAGATGAGTTCAAAGAAGAGTCTCAATAGTTAAAACTCTTTTGGTTGAAAATTACCAATGTCCGGTCTGAACTTCTATGTTTTTAAAGAATCTGCTAAATTCTCAAAACACGATTATGATATGGAGATGAAATCATTGTGTTATTAGAGTGAGTAATTTTACTTTATCCAAGTATATAGCGCATCGAACAGGAATGTTGTGAATTAGCTCTGACGCACAAAAACAGTTCCAACTCCAAAAACATTATAAAGCGTGAAATTGTTTTCTTTCCGGTAGCATAATTGGCGCACGGTCACAGCAATTGTGTATGAGTAACCTTATATTTCACCTCGCAAGTCTCTGACTAAGGGCAAATAATTGCAGCTAAACACGACTAAACTACCTCCAGATATAAGGTTACCTTGAGAATACATTTTCATTCTGTTAGCTTTAAATTTCTGATTCTAGATCTCACATAAATTAACAAATCAGCAAGGTCAGACTTTGAAATATATGCAAAGGATTTGAAAGCATCAAGCAATATAACCTTAGCCTCCTCCCTACTGCCAAACCCTGTAACCAAAACAGTATTGGTGAGCCAAATGGCTACTTCAGTGTACTATTAAGGTTGAAGAAGACACAGAACCAAGCACCAGGGCTGGCTATTATATGCTAATCTTAGTAAAAATATCATCAAAGATTGATAACTTCTGAATTTACTATGCCATCCAAAGCCATTATGAATCTGTCACAACCTGTCCTAGCCATAGTAATTCTATGGCTGGGACAGGTTGTTACAGTAAGTTCAGAAAACAATTAGCTGATCTAAAAGTTGCCAAACACAACTCCACTACAAACCAATTTACCACAATTATACAAGTTATCAACAAAAATCCCTATGGCAGGTTATAGCAAACCTGAAAAATTAAGCACCCACCTTGTAGTGTATGCAATGGTGAGTTGAGAAACCCAGGCCTCAAGTAAAGGTGTCAGAGCGGGCGAGACTTGGTGCCTTCACTTTATCGTCTTAAAGAAAGTGACCCCGACATCTTAAGGAGTGAAGGTGTTCATTCTTCACTCCACAGCTGCCTCTATGGTAGATTGCACAGGCTGAAAGGCGGCAGGAGCACGCGCTTGCAAGCCAGGAATTTAGTCTCGGTCCGACACAACAACAATCTAGCGTAAACACGCTGGAGTGGCCAGACCGTTAGCCCAACTACTTCAAACAATAGGCCGGAGGGGTAAGCCGATCTGCCCGATGATTGGTTACATGAAAACTTCAACAAAACAGTAAATCGAGAGGAGAAAATCTCCTTTTCTGCTTCCTTTCATGACTGAACCTCGTAAACTATATTAAAGTATTTTAAAAAACAAAGATAAACATGCCTTAAAAGCTTGGTCCCCTTTAGCTTTAACCACTTAGGAAGTAAGCAACGTAGTATTTCCTTTTTTCAACAGCCTATAGAAACTGTGCCATAGTAACACATTCAGAGGCAACAGCGGAAAAGCCCACGTTGACACCGAAGATCCCACATCACAAAACGCGTGTAGGAAAAGTCAACATGTCAAAGGGACCTATTGTCACCCAACACACGCAGGGTTTTCTGGAAATTGATCTTGAAAAGGACAGAAGGATACAAGTGAAAGATGAGCCTTCAATGGTGTTGGACTGTAAACAACAAGGTAGGTGGTATTTCAAATGGGTTGAAAGATTAATAACAAGAAAAATGAAAAAAGGGATAATTGAATCATTAGACAAACTGAAAGCTATTTCAATCTTTCAAAAATGGAATTTGTTTCTTCATGCAAGTTACACACTAGCACATCAAGGACATCATACAGAGTCCTTGAGTATCATAGTATTGTGTAAAACTAACATGCTCTGTGGTAGACTCAAATCTATATTTCACCTAATTATTTGTTCCATAGATATCAAACTTACCTTTGGCAACAGCAGAAACAGACTATTTGACTGGCATAACAAAAAAAGGATCAGAAAAAAAAAAAAGAAAGCCCAATAAAAATTGCTAAAACACGTCTGATTAAAAAATAAGTCAAAGCCTAAACCTCTGCATGGAGATTCAATCTTCAGGTGTTTCCGCTGTGTTGATTCGGCAGGTGGGAAAATTACACACCTCACCGGAGGTGAAACACTGCGACAACATTATAATTACCTTGATGACTTATAGTGCTTTCTCTGACCCACTTTTACTCCAGATAAAGACAGGAGATTCCTTTGTTCTCTAATTTGTGGTCAATATTGGGGTATTTTTCTGACCTTACAACAGCTCACTGTTTGTTGTATTTAGAACTGTGCTTTATCCAAAATTGTGCCTGGGCAAATCTACGTTCTTGGATACACGCAGACTATCCAGAACTGTGTCTGATCTCAACCCTAACTTATTCAGTCATAGAACTAGATAGGCACAGTTCTGGACACAGTACTGTTTGAAGTCTTGATTGGAAAAAAAAAAATCTAAGAAGAAAAAGAATCTAAGATGATTAAAAAATTGCTTGGTCAATCCAAAGAAACACTGACGGTACTTTCAGTCTTGGCATTCTAAATCTAGATTCCAGACTAGATTACAGCTTACATATACATGTAACTTACCGGTACTACTGAATAGGAGAACATTTTAACAATTGCCTGACACAGGTGAACATGAGTAAAGCAGGTAAAAAATGACAAACCTTTTTACCTCAGAGTTACAGAAGAACCAACATCTTACTGTAACTGTTGTCAAGCACAGCGTCTGAATGCAAATTATAATCTAATTACTGTATAATTATGAACAGACTAAACAGTAATACTGGTACAGCCCACTGAAAGACGCTTTGGCCTGGCTTATTTACTTTTCCCACAGTTGTAACTAAACTTCAGCATTAGTGTAAGCCTCTTTAATTCAAAGTAACTCTTACTGGAAAGTAGAAACAGTGTTTGGTATCCAAACTGTGTACATCTGAAGCCAAACATTCTCCCCAGAGAGTCCCCAGGGCTTAAGGGTTAATCCAGTGTTGATACATCTCCACAGGTGATGACAGATGAGAAGAGACCCCACACTGTTTGGCCTGGCCTAGGCTATCATTTTCAACATACATGTAGATACAAAACATCCTTTGCCATCCTTTGCCAATAAAGAGGCAAGACTGGTAGGAAAGGAGAGCTGAAGATTTTCTTGTTCTTCTCTGTCTTTCTCCCTGTCTTTCTCTTGATCTCTAGATCTGCCTCTCACTTTTCCAGTCTCTTTCTGCCCTTTTATCCACTCTCACTTTCCTTCTGTCTACCTCTCAGTCTGTATCTCTTTCTGTATATGTCTCCCTCTGTGTCTCACCCCCTCCCTCCCTGACTGTCTCTCCTCTCTCTCTTTTCTCCCTCCCTCTCTCTAAACATGGATGTGTATGCTGATAACAGGAAGACCCCACACAGTGTGCCCTGGCCCCAGGCTATCACCACAGCTAGGAAACATCCCTCCCTGTCCAAGGTGCCAAACCAGCATAATAGGGCTGCAATTCTCTTACAAACTGCTAGCAGGAGCTGGAGAGCAGGTTTGCTAACAGGTGGTTGCTGGAAGTCAATTCAAAGATACCATATTCCTATAAATTTGACACTTGACATTTAGCATTACAAAAGTGCACTTCAGGTACATTCTTCTGATAACCATTTTCCTGTCATTTCACAGATTTCTTATAGATTTTTTTCCTTTAGGAAAGCACAGAGTGTCGGAGTGGACATCTCCTAAGAAACTAACAAAGAAACTTTAAGTCTATAAAGAAGAGAAAAAGGAGAAATGCCTCACCAGTTCCTGAATGACAGTGTCGGCAGTCTGGATCCTGATGTCGTCTATTGCACAAAGGTAGTTGACATTGTCGTCATCTTCTAGTCTCCATGCAGCATCTGGGAAGAACGATTTACGGTCAGATGATTCAAGTCCTCACTACACAAATTTTCACTTCATTTCACACTTTTCTAAGAAGGCTACCTGTACAAGAACACCTATCCCCTGAACGGGCTTGACTGTTACATGTAACTGTTACTATCATTGAAAATGAACTATCATGATAATTTTGGATCAGGCTGCAAAAATTACAACACTTGTATTACAACTTTGTATTCAAAGAACATCTTGTCTCATGTTTATAGTATGCTGCAGTATGATTGCAAACTGATGGGTGGAGCTTCAAGAACACAAGGTCTACCTGAAACAAGTCAGCTTCCTCCAACCATGGAGTTAAAACCTTGTATTTAACCTCCTTGCTCCAACAGGTACAGGTACGAACAAACATTCACCATCCTTCTTTTTCTTCACTTTTATTTTCATTTACATGAAATATCTTCTGGTGCAGTTCAATAGTTTAAGCCATGGAGAGTATAGCAGTAAATTAATTTTACAACTCATACATTCATGTAGACACTTGTGAAGTTTTCTTACTATACAAAAATGTAGGTGCATTTGTGTCCATAAACCTGCTACTACCTTCATATCTGGACTCAGTCTTTTAAAATTCATAAGACAGAGTCTATTAGTTTGACAACCATGAATTCTGCAAAGACAGCAACTCACTACAAAACTTTACGAGTTCAGGTAAGGGCACTTCACACCATGGAACATTACGGCTAGAATGCCATGGTGAGGTCAAGGTAAAGTCTTGTGAGAGAAAAAAACAATAAATATCATTAACATCCTATATGAGACCTGGCTCTATGAAAGGTTGCCACCCGTACCTCTGTTGACATTTCCTATATTGGGTTAATTTCAAAGTTCACTTAGGCCGCATATAGAATTATATTTTACTGGGAAATTTTACCTCGAGTTAACTGGGATGGACGTCATAATCGGAGCTCATACAGGTATTCACTTTTTTTTAATGCGGCCAATTTCAAAGTTCGCTTGGGCCAAAGTTATAAAAAAAGTTATAAAACTAGATTTTACAGCACTTTTATGGAGAAATTTTACTTTCTAGGATAAATTCTGGTGACCGTGGGTCATATTGGTTTATAGTCTGAGAGGAAGTAAAATTTTGTGTATAAGTACATTTTTAATTGAAATACAATAGCCTAAGCTTACACATTATCATCAATTGCTAAGGACAGATAACTGCCACTGGTTATATTGATTGGTAGTTAACTGCAAGCACATCCTCCTTAAGACTTTAAAACTAAAAAAAAGTTTCAATATAGCCCAAGGGCCACACAGCTATACCACTACAGCAGGGGGGCTAGTCCACTGGTAGAGGAGTGTGTTTAACTCCATGATACTCTTAACTCAACTCCCATACACACACAGGCCACTACAGCAGGAGGCTAGTGCCTTTTCCAAGGATAAAACGTCTAGCCAAGACGGCAAGGAATCGAACCCATGACCCCACAATCTCGTGTCCACTCGCTTAGCCACTCAGCCATTTGACACCACTTCAACATGTATACGAAAACTTATATAACACAAAATGAGAACTCACAGTACTTGCAACCATAAAAAAATCTAACAGAGTACTGTTACACAAGCTTCTTATGGTAACTGTAAGTGTGCTTACCCTTCCTGCGCCACGTTAGAAAATGTCAGATGAAGGACAAGAGAGGAGTCAGAGCAAATCAATTTCCTGGTGTTCAGATGATAAAAAATGCTGAGCTAGACCTGAAGTAACTATAGCCTGGATGCCAGATAGCCTGGATGCACAAATTGATTCCAATACCGCTGTCTCTGGTAACATCCTAGTACACCTTTCCAATATCTTGCAAGTACAGGCCGTATAGGCTTGTATAGCCAGTATAACAGCCCTTCAGCAATTCTGAAACTGTTGTGTTATTAACACACCAGCTTCAGTACCTCATAATCCGCATAGCTGGTATCCATTCTTCGTCCTGAACTAACACACAGCCTCGCGGCAGCTGCTGGCTATAATATTACACTGAAGGATGGGTTAGGGATGCCATCTATGAGAGTGGGCCATGTATGTTGTTCCCCAGCTGAAGGGATTGTCATCACCTTGCACTGGGTCTGGCATCCGAGCCAGATTTGAAGAAATACATAAGTCATGGAAACACTCAGTCTGAGGGATAAGTATGAACCTTTCTTGCTGCCTAATAGCACTACCAGCCTGCATGATGCAGTGTAAAGAAAGGTGGTAAAAAAATTGCAGTAAAAATCTTTACTTTTCTTATTGGCACATACATGTGTACATGTTACTTTGTCGAAGATCCATATGTTTTCAAGGAATTAACTTACCAAAGAAATTGACTCTTTTACTCTGCAACAAACACTGAATAAAACTTTGTGAGGCATGTCATGGTGTTTGTGCCATCATAGATATAACTGCAAGACGAACTGCAGCTATTTTGGCAATCTATTGTCATATGGCAGATTCCAGATTGCCATACACATCATAAGATATCATACATATGATAAATCCCTACAATGTGCTAGCCATACCAAACGGCATACGTGAGGCATTGGCAGATGGATGTACAGTCATGTAAAACGAAATAGATCAAACGACCAGATACATTCTTTAAAGAGTCAGATTGCATCCACTTTTTTTCACTAGTTAGTACTAAGAATGCATCTGAAGACAATATAAAGTTAACGAGAATAAAAATCAATATGTAATACTGAAGAAACATCTGATTCTTCAAAGGATTTATACAGTTGTTTGATTTATTTTGCATCCCGTAATTCTCGCCCTGGATGTCTAACCTTCATCGACGCTTTGTCAGATTACAGTTTGTCATACTGTATATATAGTACTATAAATCCCTACATCGTGCTATGCATTCTAAACAAGACACTGAGGCACATGAACATGAACATTCGTACGTCATCTTCCTTTCTTTTGGAAGTGAGCGTGTTAAGAGGCTTAATCATACCAACGCTAAATGGGGAAGTGTCTAGAAGCAAGGTTTTATCTACTTAATACCAAATCCATTTTCATCTGTATGAACCATCATACTTTATCTTCCAAAATCTTTTGGAAGTTACGGTATTAAGGGGCTTAATCACACCAATGGTTGATGGGAAGTGTCGTGTAGGAAGGTTTTATTAACTAAAAACTTTGGATACCTTTAGGCTTTATTTCAATTCTTTATAAACCTTCTCACTAAATCTTCCTTTCTTTTGGAAGTTACCGTATTAAGGGCCTAAACATACCAAATGGTTGATGGGGAAGCGTCGTGTTTAAAGATTTTCTTTTCTTAATACTTACAGATATTAACCAATGGTTATTGGAGATATGTCATGTAGGAAGGTTTTATGTAATACTTCAGATATCAAAGCTTTCTAAACCCTTATTCTCTTTTGGAAGTTACTGTATTAAGGGGCTTATTCCCACCAATGGTTAATGGGAAAGATGGTTTTGTACTTTAGATATAGCTATATTTCTGAGTTTATGAATCTTGTGCTCTATCTTCTTTTCTTTCTGAAGTTACCGTATTATGGGGCTTAATCACACCAATGGAAAAGTGGGGTAGACATTATCTGTTATATCCACTATACATTACCCTGTCTTCATGACTGGAAACATATGAAAAGATGAGACGGGCCGGCTTTACAGAGAAGGGATTATACCTGTCCAATGTTCAGGAGTGTAAAACAAGTTCAAAGTGAAGGAACTTCTTATACAATCAAATAGACTTTACACCCCAATTGTTACATCATATATCAAATGTAGATCTTTAAATCTTAGAATCTTAAAATCTCTCTCCCTTTTTGTTACACACATGCACACGCACACACACAGTTGCACACAGAGTTAGTTTTCATAGCTTAACAGTTTGTAAATTGCAAAAGATATTATCATACGCAGGCATGTGAGTAGACAGTGGTGTAAAGGTTCTGACTCCCTCCCGAGATGACGCAAACTTTCCCTCCACCCACGCATAGCCAGCGGCAGGCAGGCGTACTCACGTGGACATGTTAGCTGAGAACTACTGGTGCAGAAAATTCCCCTCCCCCGCACTACGGAAGTATCATTAAACACAGTCAACAATGGAAGATACTGCAGGCTACATGAGTGGGTAGAATGGAGCCTCTACCAGGCTCTCAAGGTTGCTGGAAAAATAATTACTCAGCCAATTTTTCCTATTTACATGTTTTTGCAGTCTGGAATGTAAAATCAACATTAAACGTTGATTTTACTCCTCTAGTCATGAGTACCTAAGCTACATGTATGTAGTTTAGGCAATGTCTCCATAGGAAAACTGCCCTTTATCAACATACCAGCTTTGCAGGCACTCTGATTATAATATCCACCTAACACCTGCATATCAAACTTCAGGTATTGTTTAAAGCTATTTAGTTACTGAGGAATTGCCTTTACTGTAATTTCAATTGGTCACATCATGATGAATTTCACCCTATGTCCACAACTTTTTTTCTTACTATTGCAAATATAATTTATAAATTGCAGAATCACAGATTATTTCATAATGATATTGAGTAGTCTAGATGGCATTGTGGTAGTGAGCAAGCAAAGAGAGAGAGCCCGCGGGTGGTAACTATGTTATGGCACCAGGGTTAGATATTCAGGGCATGTTGGACGAAGCGTGATGCTTTTACGTTAGCTTAAAAATTGTGCAATTTGGATTTGCTACCTGCAAGTGAAGTTGCAATCACAGCCTTACTGTGATCACAAGAGATTGTCGACCATACAGAGTTAGATGGTCTAATGAAGGAGAGTATTTGTCCCATCACGATTCATGCATTTTCTTTACGACAAAGGCAAGCACTAGAATATGTAAGACTAAGCTCATGTTATGTGTGACCTCCTTGGGACACAGCCTCAGATTTGACCCTTGAGCCTTTTCCTTGCATTACAAATGAAGCTGTCTGCAAATTAAAGCTCTGTAGCTGTTACATGTTCGCATGTTACGGCAGTTCTGATTTGCCCAGGGACATGTTTCATTGCTGGTAAGCATTTATTGATGCTTGAGTGGAGTAATGGTCACTATAGGTATTTTGTAACAGCACATGCATGACTGCTAATCATTATAATAATATGGCATTTATGTTCTAAGTACCAATAGAATACTGTATTCTCATTGTTTTGATGGCTTGGAATTGCATGCTGTTGGGTATGCAACAAACATAACACTTCAAAACTGAAGTGAAATATGAGCAAAATTCATGATACCGTGAGAGCTTGAGGCATTTTTTAATTAAGATATTACGCAAACCTTATATCATAAATTCTATTTGAGAAGCATGAGCATCTCAGAGGCACCTTTTTCACATACATGTAAAGAACAAAGATATGATGCACACAGCAAGATCTACAGCAGAATATATGTTGTGCATGACTTGAATACTAAACACCAAGTTTGAAAAGGGTTAGAATGAGGATTTGGAAAGACAGTTTACGAAAATTTCATTATTAGTAAGGATAGCATGAAATATCTGAATCCATTTTCTGATGTGGAATACTTCAATTAATTTAGTGCTGAAAACAGCTGGATACCTATCAGGCAAACACAAAGTTTTAGAATACTTTGAGACGGAAGAATAAATATTGCAAGAGTTCTTGACCTGAAATAACACATGCCAACAAAGACGTCCCCACAATCTTTCCCAGCCTGCCAGCATTTCACAGCTGGTTACCCCATATGGAGAATGGGATGTTGTGCATTCCGTGCCAGGGCTGGAAACACCACCTGTATATGAAGGTTACTGCAGGTGAAATTGGAGCTGTCCGGGTATTTCTGATGTCTACCTGCACCTGACCTGCACTAAATATCCACACCAAGGTTTGAAATACCACCTGCTTATGCAGGTTAGTGCAGCTGTGCAGGTCTACCTGCACCTAATCAGCACTGGTCCATGACAAAACCAGCTCAGACACTAGGGGGGCATATTCTTGAATCTTCAAAATAGCACCATCATTGCAGGTAAACAGAAAATAGAGCTTGGATATTGTGTATTCCATGCATTTTCCACATGGTTTGCCCCAGTTGCACACCACTTACGAAACTCTGGAACTCTGCAGGACATAATGGATGGTTGAGAACACCGAATCACAACACCATGATTCCCCCTCAATTAGGTGTAATGTAATGTAAGGTCTCAGTTGGCTTGCCTGTGAGACCGCCATTATTGTGCCATTAGTTCTACAAGGTTGGCAGGAAGAAACACTGGGGCCAGGCAGGGATGTTCACAAATCACGGGTTTGGGTACCCACAAAATGAACCTAGAAAACGTTTCATCATACTTAGATAGAAAACTCCTATTTTATTGGTATATTTGTCAAAGGTAGAGAGAATTTGAATACATTTCCATTAAACATTACAGTAGCTATACAGGTACTGTACAGGTACATGTACCCAGGAGCTGTTTAGTACCAAACTGGTATTGGTTATGGGGTTAGGTAGCAGGGAAAAGTTAAAAAAATCTTTAAAAAGAACGCCTACACCACAGGACATTCAGTTCAGTTTATAGTTTTCAACTGATGTGTCATTAAAGATCGTGTGCAACAAGCAACATGCTGGTGCAGTATCAACCAAGCATCCTACGAAAACGTGAAAAATCCAGGTTTTGCGCAGGTGCAGTGCATTCTGCTGAAGTGCTTGTCCAGGGTGATTATTATGCGTAACAGTCATAAGATCCCAGCAGAAATATCAATTTTGTTGAAGATGATCAATCTTTCATGGGGCGATGTGATTTGTGCTGACATGCATTACCCTTACCGCTACAGGCAGCATCTTTATGGATGGGTGTTCCCTCCAAAAATTCCCCCCAGACTTCAAAGTACAAATCTCAGCATATTTGGGTCAAAAGGCGATACCGCCGCGATAAAAAATTCATGCCTGACTACCGTTGGGGTCAGCTGGTGGGGTTTCGATGACGTCAAGTCGCAGATGAAGGCTGAACCGCTGGACTCATTAACAAGGCTTTCTCTCACAGGACAGATAGTACTGATTAATAATTAATAGGAATGTGTGACCCTTCTCATCTTGTGGTAAGGCCTAGGCAAAAAATGTAGCATTTCCTGGCACTGTTTCCTGACCGACCCTATCAAAAACATGCCAGACCTAGCTTTTTTCAGTTGACTGCTAGCTAGTAAGTCCATTATATTTTCGATCTGAATTTCAAACCCTTAAAAACATTCTTTCAAGGGTTTTCAGAAGCAAATTTTCATTGAGTAAATTGGGTGAAAGATTAGTCCCTTTAGAAAAAAATGAAAAGAAAGTCAACTGAAAAAAGCTAGGTCTGGCATGTTTTTGATAGGGTTGGTTGGAAAACGGTGCCAGGAAACACTACATTTTTTTCCAAGGCCTTACCACAAGATGAGAAGGGTCACACATTCCTATTAAATCAAAAAAGAAGAAAAAAAGAAGAAAAAAAGAAACAAAAAGGAATCCCTACCTACTGACCCAGGCCTGAAACTAGTAACATTTTTTTCACAGGCCTAATTTGAATGGCTGAACTGAAGGAAACAAAACTTTAAATTATGTGGCATCTGGCCTTAGTGCTGAAATTCTGCTGTTATAAAGAAGTAAGATACGGTACTCAACTGAGCTGCCAGGGCATGACTGCAGTACAGTCTGTCTTAAATATCAGCAATATTAGATGTCCACCCCAAGGCCTCACAAATTTGATTTCTTGGCTCTCAGATTTTTGTAGAAAAAGTTGTAAAAAGAGTACATTCCAAGGGTATCGTCTGCATACAGGAAGTTGGTGATCTTTACGACAGCCAACTTTGATAATGAAGCCATGAGTCTTGCTTAAAGCTGGATTAGCTGTGCAGAGGTGTGTGTAGGCAGCAGCTGATGCTGACTATGATGCATGTAATGGGGCTTACTCATAATTGGGCTAACTTCCAACACTGACAAACAGGAAACCTTAGTCACAGCGGGTTGATTATTGATGAACTTGAACAAAAATCCCAAATCCCTTTCAGAACTTTATGTCTTCTTAATAACATTTATGTGGGGTAAATGAAAGGATAAAGAGTTTACAGGGAGAAAGTGAGTTACAACATTTGTCTTCTTAACTTTCTTATCCAAATGATACTTTGCTTATTTAGTATTTTTGCATAATTATTTTTTCAGTTATTTTTCTCTTCCCCTGTTGACTTTTACTGTAAACGATATTTGTATTTATCCTGTCTGTATGGTTCACTAGCCCAAAGAGGGCTTTAAATTTGCCAAAAAGTTTCCTTGTCCCACTTAGTTTTATCCTTCTATCATGTAGACATAAGGAAATTGGTCTGTCTGCACCCAACACTGACGTATAATGGTCATTTTGACAGCTCCTCAGATAAAGTACATTACAGCCAATATCTGTTGGCGCCAGGAATACATAAAAGAAAGCTCAATAAGAAGGAGTCATTGCATCCAGGTGCCAATCATCAGTGTAGAAGCTGATATTCCCACTGATAAACAGAACTCCATGATATACATGCTGTAAGTTTCAAACATCGTTTTTGATTGTAGTAGAGGGTTCAGGGCTCTTTTCTTAGTAGTGAAAGATTTGGGAAGAGATTTTTTCACATTGACTCCAAGCCCAGTAGAAGTCAAAACTTCAAGGTGATATTTTTTCACATCATTGGTTGTTTTTCTAAGAAGCTGGTAGGAGTATTCTCTTGGCAAAAATAAAATCAATAAAACAGCAACCCTTGTAAATCGCCGGAGGGTGTTTTTTAATCTGCTCCAGTTCAGGAAGTAATTTCCTCCCTTTCAGTGCTCATTAAGTGATTAGAATCAACCAGGAAGATGATCGATTTATGACACCCATTGTTGTGGAATAACCTATGTAGGACGATTAATCACCTGTCTGCACATGCCATCATTAGGGTTATTTCCTGACAACATGTCACACCAGGGTGGGCGGGGCTTCCATTACATGATTACATTTTTCATTATTGTAGATAGTATTGTATCTTATTGTATTTTATTGTTTTGTTTATTTACCCGTTACCTAAGTTATTTCTTATTTATCCGATTGATTTGAATTGTTAATCACGTTATGAAGGGAGCTCCTCATAAGCATTTTATGCTTCCGGCCTCCCTGCACTGTTAGTAAGTTCGGAGTGTTACATTTCATTTATATTTTCTTGTATTTGTATTAGTTACATTTTGTTTTGAAGTGCGAAATAAACTGAAACTGATCTGAACTGAACTGATGCTGTCTATCATGATATGAGACGTTTCCTCATTTAATATTTATTGATTAATGATTAATTTTACATCAATATTATCAATTATTAATACAAATGTTTCCATTAATAGGCAAAAAAAGTCCAAATCTACACCTTGAAATCAGTTATGTATTAGTCGTATGCAATCAAAATGTGTAAAATCAATCTGTAAAATTAAGATTTCATTTTTATTAACTATTGAACAACCTGGAGAGTCAGAGTAACATTCAATTTGTCAACTTGTCAGAAATTTGAGTTGATGGTGTGTGCACTGCTCATCATCTGAAATTTAGTACCAGTAAACTTAGTCATTCTCTTGTCTCTGTAATGGCAAAGTATTTGTACTGGTAGTTCTAGCTTAGACTGGGTGGAACCAACTGGGATGCAACCCAACCTAGATATAACAAGGTGAATGATAATGAATGAACACTGGGAAACAGAGACCTGCCCCAGGACTGACCTCTAGTAGGGATGGTGCTCCCATCCACTGGAGGCTGAGGCAGTAGCCTCCTCCTCCTCTCTGTAGTCTCTGTACTTTCCACATGAATCTGAGGTATACACAGGGTGGTCTGGCCACTGGGGGGCTCCTCCGCACCCAGCCTGCTGCAGTCCTGCGCAGACTTCCCCAGGGGGCCCTTCCCCAGTCTCTGCAGGCTGTCGTCTCCCGCGTTCGTCTGGAGTCTCAGCAAGTCGTCCGCGCTCGACGAGCGTCTTTTCTGCGGGGTGGAGGGGAGAGTCCGCGAGCGAGAGAGTTTCCTCTCTGCCTTGGGTTTCTCTGGTTTGATTTCTATGGTGACTTCTGTGGTGCTGGGAGGCTTGGAGGGCCTCCTGTCCTGCTTGTGTTGTTTCCCCCGAGAGGTTTCTGGGTTTAACTCCTCTGGTTCAACGTCCTTGTCCTTATCCATGGAGTCCATACGACTTCTGTAGCAAAACAACATGGACGACAGATTTAGAAACAGAACAACACAAAAATTACCACTTTTGATAGATCGACCGCAACTCAAAAGACATTTTGTTTGTTTCAGTCAACAGCTTACAAATTTAGCACGCTGCAAAGAACCTTAAAATAAGCTTTAGGTTCAAAGTCTATTGAACAGATATCAGTATGTTGCCAAGCTAGACTGAGTCGAGTCTCAAAAAGAGTTCTAGCATACCTGTTATATAATTATTAGGAAAGGCAGTGCTTGTTGAACACTGAGCAATTCACATGTACAACCTATGTTTCCAAAGAAATTATCATTTTATGACAAGTTGGTAGACACGGCCTTTGTTTGTATATTTAGTATTCCGAAACTTCTTGGCATGCGCAGTCATATTAAAAACTCTCTGAAAGTCCAGATTAGTATAACAGCCAGAAGGCCGATTGGTATTTACACAGGCAATGATTAACATGTCTACTATTTCCGGGGTGGAGGGATTAGCAGGTGAGAAGAAAAGCTGCAGCGTTGGCGTAAGTCCGTAGCAATTTCCGACGCTACATTTGGCGGATTTGTGTCCCCATGGTAAAGGTTATTCCAGTCAATTTGCAGAGCCTGGTTCGGGGATTGAAAAGAAATCCTTGCTGAAACGAATCTGGATAACATGCAAAATCCCCCTTTTTGTTTTTCGGTTTCTGAAGAAAATCAATAGAATTGCTGCAAACTGTGAGCAGCTTATCAAACTTGTTTCAGACCTAAAATTCTTGGCGAGAAGCATTATTGTTTCTTAGTTATTTCTGACCATGACAAGGCATGAGATATGGTGGAGGCATTCCATTTCTAGTAAAAAGTGAAGATGAACAGTGAGCTATTCTGGGATTACGATGGATGACCAGTTATACCTTGGCCATTCTAACCCCTTTGATAACTTGCTTGTTTGCAATTTTACAGGCATAGTGCCATTAAACCCTCAATTTCCAAGCTCGCTAAAAATAGATGCCAGATACAGCAGCAGTCCAGTTATGGACAGTTTTAGCACGATGGGAAAACGGCGGAAGCTTGCCAGGCGCGTAAGTGTACATGTAGATGATTTAGTTTAAGTTTTTCTAAATCTGAGTTGTGGGCCTTGGCAACAAACCTTTCCGGTAAAATTCAGTTTTTGCTCAATTTTTCTTCTTTTAAAGGTTTTTTATCAATTTACCAGGAAACTTTTGAACTGTGTCTTCTTTTTTTTAAATTCCAACAAGTTTCCTGTTATGTATTTGATTTAGTATATTATATCAATGATCATCAAAAATAATTTTTCATCTATGCCATATTGTAAGATGTGACTGCTTCAAGATTTGCATTCTGTTCTGAGTTTTGGTCTTTTGGATTTACATGTATGTCTCACATAAACACTGTCTAACTCTGACAAATTGTTCAAACTTACTACCCCAATTAATACCCTAACTATGAAATATTGCCTTATTTGATAGGGTTACAGTCAAATGTCGCGCCATCATCGTCAATAATACAGACATTGTGGGCAGGGATATTAAAAAAAACATGTAATTATGATTCCTCATACTCTGATATATTGTTGCAATTATCTTTTATGACTGTTTGAAAAGGGGGCACCTTGCCAATACAAATACATTACAGCTAATTCTACAACAACAACTATACTTCACGAAGTACATGTATGCTGAACTTTTTCCATTTCACTTGTTTTGAGGTACATGTACATTCCTTGTTACATGTTGGCAACAGTCTGTTCTTTTAATTCTTGGTACTGTGAAGGTTCAAACCCTCTTGTCTGGAGCAACCACCCCCTGAGTTACCAATCACTTTTCCTTTGTCTCTTGAGTAGTTATTGAGGCCAAGTTTTACCATATTTTCCCAGGAGTGATGACCAAATTTTGCAATTAATTTTACAATGACAAGCTGCATGTATGTGGCCTGTGGCAAAAGTCTTAGGACTTACTGGACTTCTTTTGAGTGCCATTCCTCCTCTGCTATTACACAAGTCTGAAGACACACCCCTACATGTACATTAACCACAATGCACTAACATACAGTTACTGACAGTTCCTGAGTGTTTTGGAGTTAACTTTCTGCACACATTTGAATGACTGCAAGCTCAGGTCATAGCAGTGGCTGTTGCCAACGACGTACCCTAAAACTTGGCGTTTTCCAAAGGGCAGATGGCTGAGTACTACAGACAGTATTTTCCATCTAACTTTCTGCACACGCACAGACTGCCAGCATACGAGATTGACAGTAAGTTGGTTTAGAGCCACAATTTCTTCACATGCCAATGAGAATCCTTTGCGTAGGTGTGTCGGCTTAATTTCTGCGAGGCACTGAACCATCACACTCACGACCGCCAATAACTCCCACCATCAACTGACAATATCCCACAGACAAACTGGGAATGAAACTGCGTGGGCGGAAACCGCCAATTGACGTCATCTGCCCCAAAACCTAATTGCTGCCTCCCTAAAAATAGAGCGGAGGACCTCGAGAGGCAGTAAGTCAGGATATTGAGTCGATTCCCACAAATCAATTTAGAATTAGAGACCGGATGTCGATTTGAAGGGAGCGTGGCTTGATATCGTGAGGTAATATTGAGGGCGGTCCAATGTAGTACTTGGAAAGCCTTCGGGTGGCTCCTGGCCTCTTGGATTGGATTGTTGAATTATGCATCATCGAGTCGAGAGTTCTTTTAGAGTCAGGCCTGTACAAATTTTTCTGTCGTGTAGGCTTCATCTATTTCCTTTTTTCTTCCATTTTCTATACAAGCCTTCCCATTTACAATTGTTGCAGGTTTTGGGCCATTTTCAGAACAAAAATGGATATTGTGCTCTGGTATTAAAACCAAATGACCTCACTGGCTGACATTTGTTTGCACCAAGGCCAACATGCTTGCTTTCATGATGATTATGGCTCTCTCTTTGGACTAATCTAGACATCATCATTACCATTTCTCAGATGTATTGTTATATATAATTATACATGCATGAAGTTAGTAGCATCCACAGAGGGTTACAGAAGGTAATTAACCTTTCTAAATTTGCTGTCAGCACCTCCTCTTCTCCAAATTAAGCCTCAGATGATTCCATTAGCTAAAGGTTAATTGGATCACACAATTTCTGAATACAGATCATTCTTAGGGCCTGGAGACCCTGTAGCGATATAACATCGGGTTTGAAAATACTTTTTTTCAGGTTGACCACTGGGCAGTCACCTAAGGCAAAAGCTAGGATGCTCATCAATATTTGAGGTTGCCATCAACGCTGGCTGTATTTTTTGAAGCCGTAAGCTGAGGTGATTTACATGTATGTCAGAAGCCATTTAAAGCTGGACTGCTGTAAACTACTGCACCAGTGCAGGTTTTCAGAAAAAGTGTTTGAAGCCCTGATACTAGATACTGCATTTTTGAAATGTAGCAAAGTCTCAGAACATTTCAAGTCTTGTCATATGTTCACTTCGAATTCATGTGCCGGTAAGTGCAGACAGTGTGCTGCCCTCAACTGACAGCCTTATGCAAAAGGCATCTATCTCAGGAGAGCACCAAAGGCCTTTCAACTCGACCTCGCATGGTCCCTATTCCATCTGTTGGAATTGCAGCATCGCAGCGTAACATAATCCTTCACAATCACATTTAACAATTTCCTCACTGCTACAAATCCTGCCATGCCTAATGTTTGGCATTTCACACTGTTACCACTTTTGAAGGGGCTAAGGCGCCATACTGACTGGTAAATTGCATGGGCGCCACAATTTTTTGCACTTTCAAATGGGCTGGATTGCTGAAATTTAAATTGGATTAGAATTACAAGTATTAAAGATTTGCCACAATACCACCAAATAGGTAAAGATTTGCCACAATACCACCAAATAGGTAAAATCGTTGCAACACGAGCAAATATGCCTGAGAGTTTAAATTATGAAACATTAGACAACCTCCTAAAAAAGAAACTAACATCACAACAGTTATCATTTATGTTATATCAAATCATGATGCTCTGTGTATCCGGTCATTTAACAATGAAAGTTTGTGCCTATATGTTGTATACTTTAAAGTTAACTTGTTAAGGCACCTGTGCATTCATCCCATTTTTTTGTGCACGCTTGCTTCAGTTTTTAGGAGTCATATGTATACATATAATCAAATCCTTGTGGCCCATACGAGACACTTTAGCTCTGAGTCTGATGCAGATACAGAACTATGCTTTATCCAGAACCATGCTCAAACCAAAACCCAAGGAACAGTTCTGAACAGTACGATTATCCAGAAGCATGCCTGGGGCAAATCTATGCTCTTGGATATACAGGGAGACTATCCAGAACTGTGGAGACTATCCTGATTCTAACCCTAACCCCATCAGGCACAGAACTACATGTAGATAGGCATGTTTGAACTTTCTGGATACAATATGCTCCTTAATAATAAATATCGTATGATAGCTAAAGGCCATGAAGTGAATAAAGTATCCCAGTATTCTATTTGGCATGAATTATTTATGACCTTGACCAGCAAGGTTGTCCTAGATTAGAATCTGTGACCCCTGTTGACCCTCTACTTGCAGAATATATCTCGCATCATTAATTCCAGGGAAATAAAGAATGTTACACACGACACAGCAATTAGCTATACATCCACCCAAGGGGTTTCCCCAGTATACAGTCATGTAAGTTGTATCAGTCTCAAAGGGCGATGACTGTGAGTTTCAATACTTGTACAGAATTCGAATCCTTTTTCTGCAATTTTAACTGCACTGGTGCGTGTGACATTGAAAATTGCCTGCACCAGACAAATTTTCCCTGCAACACTCAGAATTTAGGAAATTAAATTATGGATTATAATAAGAACTGTTCAGATTAACCACTGCCATTACAGTTTTTATTTATGATACTTCATAGCAGTGTTTCCGCCAGGAGACGGCCGAAGGCCGTCCCAACCGGAGGGCCGAAGGCCCGACCGCGAGCGCCGAAGGCGCGAGCTTATACTAGGGGGGT